AGAAGTTCTCCATCTACTGTTAGTTCTTTTAACCCTCAGTGCTACTGAGGTCTATATTTAGAGCCTCAGCTTAATCTTCTCAAACTCTCTCAATTCCCATGGAGAAAACAGAAACTATCCTCAAAATCATTCATTTCTCTCCTTTCCTAAGTCTTTTCCATATTCATTTTTCACAATCATTCTTCTACATCTGAGGCTGTTGACAAGTATTTAACATATTTAGATGCTTATTTTCATTATTATTTGCATTATAGTGTATCCGATGGACTCACTTGAGATCGGAGACGCTATTGCGTGAGACACTGAACAGGGACATGGTAAAAGACAGCCCTGTTACAGGATCTCCTGACTCCCAGTCCAGTGCTTTAACCATAAAACTATACTTTACATATAGATGATGATATGTTAAGGAAAAAATACTAGCCATAAACATGATGGATGATTCCATTATGACTGCCATGGAGGAAGAAGAAAAATTTCAATTCTGTGACAGGGGTATAGGTTATAGCCATGTTCATCTAAGAACATAGGCAGACAAGGTTCAGATGCTTCCTCAGCCTAATGAAGGGTATTTAAACTCAAAAGCTTGCTAAGAAGAATTTTTTCCAACTATTTGAGTTGGTCTAATAAAAGATATCAGATTTACCCAAAGAACCTTGTCTGCCTTCAATTCTGTGAGTCATTTAATAAAATTTAGTATCTGATGGTGAATATTATTTGAGATGCTCAAAATTTTGCTATGGCAGTAGTTCCCAAGCTATGATCTAGAAGGCCATAATAAGTAGCCCACAAATTGCACCAGGTACCTCCCCCTTTTCAATTAAGAGATTGAGACTAAAGATACGTAGTAGTCCATAAGAAGTTGTAAAAATTGACAATGATCTGCTGTGACAAAACTTTTGGGAGCCACCACAACACAGGAATGTAGTCCAATTGGCTGTCCAAAAAAGAGACAATAATGCCAATACAGACAATTTGGAAGAGATATTCTTGCAGTAAAATATAAAGCTTAAATGAAAAAGAAAAAAAATATTCTGGTAAAAATAATTTTCATTGTCTATAACAATCCTATAAAAATCTGCTCCATATGCATGAAATAATGAAATAATTTGTATTACAAAAAACTCTCAAACAAGAACAAGCTGCATCATATTGGGTGCCTGTATGCGAGCCGGGAGGCTGCTCTGATGCGCTGTAATTACAAAGCACTGAAGCGGATTTAATTAATTGAGCATGCTAATTAGCACACTCCAGCAGACTTCAGCCAGCCTACGCATCTCATGTATCAGCATCCCCATGCTTCAAAATGGTGGCAGGGTAACTAAAGCTCATTTGATAAGCTTTAGATAAAGTGCCCCCCACCACCATTTTGAAGCATGGGGACACCGACAGGCGAGACACTCTGGGTGCTTTAATTAGAGCATCTCTCAGAACCACTCTAAAGAACACCCCCATCCCCCAAGCATGTATAAAAATGCCCATTATGTCTAGAGCAGCAGATCCCAAACTGACAGATGGTGCACCATGAATTTAAAACAATACAACCCTAAGTACCAGCAGCAAATTTTTGTCATATAAAGTAATTATAATAAATCTGTTAACATACACCACTGACAGGTTGTCTGCGTACCACTGGTGGTACACATACCACAGATTAGGAACTGCTGGTCTAGAGGCTTTTAATGAAGATAACTGCCCTTTAGAGAAAAAGGTTCCAAGGAGTATTCCATACTTCATCATAAAAAAGTAACATGGTAACCACTGCCAAAACTGGTATCATCAGAGATCACTTGCAAGCTCTCAAGCAACAAAAATATCTTCATTAAGCTGCAAAAATTAACACTTGTTGATCCTTGGCTAACTGGTGACAAAGGAAATATAAGTCAAATACTTTGTCTAAAATGGCTGTTTAAGAAAATCCCTTAGAGTTTCTTGTAGATGATTTAACAAGCAACCAGTTGTAGAGGGAGTTCTCTGTAGATGGCAAGCTAATGAAATGTGACAGGTTGAATGGTGCAAAGATAATGGGCTGAGCTCTCCACTGACTGTAAAGCAGAAGCTGATTAAAGTTAAGATTTTAGGGGGTGGGGAACAGCCAACCAAACAAAAACTTAAAATTGATTTGAAAACAATTATGTATACAGATACTGTATATCAAAGGACAAAGGTACCTAAAGTTCAACTGAGTGGAATTTAGACACCCAAGAATGAGTGATTTATCCATGGTATCACATCCTAACAACTTAAGTGGCTACATTTTTGCAAGTAAAACTTAAGGCCTTGTCACATTTTACACTGAACTGCGCAAATTTTGATTGGTATTAGTAAGTTTGGAGCGTTCACATTCAGGCTAGCAGAGGCCGGAAAGACTCAAAGGTATGAATCCCCCCTCTCCTTTCTGGATTTCCCATCTGCTCCCTGGGGTCCCCCCCTCCCTGCCGTGCCCAGGGCTCCCCTCCTGCCCCTTGGGTTTGCCCAATGCTTCTTGGGGTTCCCCCAAGCATCCCTCCACCCCCAGGGCAGGACTTACTTGTGGCTGCTCCCCCATCCCCATCCCCTCCCACTTACTTGTGGCTGCCTGCACTGTCCGTCTTAAGGAAGCAGAGGGGGAAAGTTTAACCTGCCTGCCAGGCTACAGCTGCTGCCAGGCTGCTGCTCTCCTGGCCCAGAGAACAGTAGCAGTGGGGACAGCAGCCAGAATGGTATTTTAACCCTTCTCTGCCTGCTCCCCTAACACAGACAGTGCAGGCAGCCACAAATCAGTGGGAGAGAATGGGGAGGCAGGCAGTGGGGCTGATCCAGGTCAGCAGGAGAACAGGGTAGTTGGGGTATTTACACTAAATTGTACCCTAGAGTGGCTACACCTTAGTGTAACTTGAGCTGGGTAACATGGATCAGAGATAATCCTGCCCTGGAGTGGCAATATCTGAACTGCATAATGAGTGCTTAAAACCAGTTTCAGGTGTTAATGTGTGCACAATGTGAGCATTAAGAACTCCAGGAGCAACCTAAAATTCCTGCATAACAAACCCCTTAGGTGCTTAGAATTCTGATACTGTGAATTCCCAGAACCACTCAACTTACTGAATTGAACATCTCAACACATTTCTTCGAAGGCCCTTTGGTGCCAAAGTCTAAGTATTGTTTCAGGCCATGAATCTCAGTCTCACATAGAAATCTGAGTCCAGAAGAAGGTCAGGATTTCATAACCCCCTCTCTATAGCAGTAGGAGATTAGCTAATTAAAATGTCTTCTCGTTCATTGTGTTGGGTGTTATGAATCACTTCTGAGGAGTCTAATTTTCCCCATTCATTGTACAAGGAACTTGGGTAACTAACAAACTCATGAGTTCTGCTCCCAGGGTAGACATTAACAGTTTGATTGTGATGACATCCATGTCACCATCACCTTGTGGATCTAGAACTGTGTGTTTAAGGTCTAAAAGTTAAACTGCAAAGGTTCTATTTGCTTACTAAAAGTAAGTATATTTATCTAAGTACTTCATAGATCTTACAGCAAATCAGAACTTCCTACACAAAATTCACAGTAACTTCTGTTCTAATTATATCATTTACCTCTTTCCTACAATTAAATATACATATTTAAAAGTAGTGTAAATGTATAAATCACAAGTATATGTAGCTAGCCTAATATAATACCAGAAACTCCTTGGAAGTATTCCTTGGAACAGTTTTTCAAAAAACACAGATCCTGATCTGAATAAGATCAGAATAAGATTGCAAAAGATAAAGTATAAATGGTACAATAATAACAATTATTGACCAGGTCATTCAAAAAATTCTTAGACAATTTTTACTTATAACATAAAAAATGAGAAGTTCAACACTGTTTAACATAATGGGTTGATACCAATAAGACTATAGGTAAGAAAAATTCTTAAAGAAGATATCTGAGAAGGATCTTGGCAGACTTGGAAGTATCCAAATACCTGCAAGATACATTTGCTAGAAGAAAAATATTGCTTGTAGGGAAGATAAACTATTTCTGCATTGGAAGTGCCAATGAAGGTGGGTTTTTTTTTAACCCAAGGAGTATGAACAGCTGATATCAGTAGGATACAGGTAGCAGGATACAAGTACCCAGGAAAAGCCCTTAGAATTGGAAGACAGTGACAGGATGTTCTCAGTGGAAATCTACTAAATACAGAATCTCCCTTAGGAGCAATCCTGTTAGGTTTTGTCTGGCCGCTCAAAGCGCACACAAAACCACCTCCTTCTCTCAAGGATGGTTGCAATGAAGTCTATGCCAGTGACTTATTTCCTTTTGCACAAATAAATCAAAGATTTAACACAGCTTTAAATGGACCAGAGAGAGTCGGGACAGTAATTTTATAAATGGTCTCCCACAATATTCTCACAAGCAAGCTAAGGAAGTACAGGTTGGATTAATGGGCTGTAAGGTAGAAACAAAACTGGCTGGATCATCAGGCTCTAAAGGTAGTAATCAATGACTCAATATCTGGTTGGTAGCCAAAAATCAAGTGGAGTGCTCCAAGGGTTGGTCCTGGAGCTGGCTTTGTTCAATATCTTCATCAAGGAACTGGAAGATAGGATGAAGTGCACTCTCAGCAAGTTTGCAAATGACACCAAGCTGGAGGGACAACCATACCCTCTAGAGTATCGGCTAGAGTTTCAGAGTCACCTAGACAAATTGCAGAACTGGAACACTCCAACAGCAGGAAGTTATCCTCAGCACTCTCCAAAAACTTCTGTGACTGCCTGTGCACTGCTCTATTGCCCTCCCAGCAAATGTCAGGGTGATCGAAGTCCCCCACGAGAACCAGAGTCTGAGATTGGGAAAATTCTGCTAGCTCTTTGAAGAAAGACCTCTTATACTTCTTGAAAAGAAAACAATACTTTGTTAAGATGCCCAAGCCGTTAGAAAATAAGTAACTAGACAAAATAGAGTAGTACAAGAGACATTATCAAAGTATAGAACTGAAGAAATTCATCAGGTATAAGTGACTAAAGTTGACTTACTGTTACTTATTAATACTTTCTGAAAACAGGAAGTCATGGTCATCAATGGTATCAAGCAGACTTCTTAGGTGACACATATTCTGAGATGGAATGATGCACATACAGAGATGGACGGCATATATGATCTGTAAATTGACTTTAAATAAACAGGTACTCTAATATTAGAACCACTTTTTAAACTTCAGATTGCAATAAATGAAAAGGTCAGTTTTGATCAGTCAGCATTCAAACAATGGTATCACAACATTTATATTGATGAACTGCAGCTGCCACTATTAATATGATTTTAGTGATAAATCAAGCAGCTGAGGATAAACCAAAGGGGAAAGCAATGTCTGCAAGTGATTCTGAACTCATATGAAAAATCCATGAATTTCAGATGTTAAAATGAGATTTTATGACATTATAGAATTACAATACAGTACCAATGTAAATCCACCAGTTACACTGATGAACATGAGTCTCAGACATTCTGTTTTGTATACTTTGATATCAGAAGTGAAAGACTTGAGCAGGAAGTGCCCTGGGCATGTGGGTAGGAAATAAAAATACATTTTTAGCTTTGACAGCTAAGAGAAGTGATGTCTTCCCTTAGACATTTAATTAATTAATCTTATTCCTGAGGAGGTGTTACTATGATATTAAGGGTGCAAACATGCATATAAGTTTCATTCTCACTTTTTTTTTTTTTTTTTTTTTTTAACCACATAACAATTAGAGCATAATAGCCACTGTCCCTGTGAAATGTTCCCCTTTTGAAAAGGTTTCAAATGGATGTAGAAGGGTAGTAAAGCACTGGGACAGGTTACCCAGAGAATTAACCATCCTTGTGTCACAACCCAAAGTTGTGAGTTTTGTTTTGTGTGTGCTTCGGCACTGCTAAATTATGTTCCCGCTAAATTGCAGCTTTTTTGCATGGTGGAGTTCTCTGCTACAGAGAAGAACTCCGGTGCAACGGAGAATTTTCCCGCCAATTTGTAGCTTTCTTTGCATGGTGCATTTCTTTTGCATCTCAGAAATGCATGGTGCAAAGGAGTTCCCGCCATTTGTATTTTAATTCGAGCCCCATTATTGGCTTGTGTTAAATTATGCACACGTGGTGGCTAGCAATTGGCTTGCTAGCCGTATAAAGAGCTTGGGTGGTTTCCGTCCAAGTTGGAGAGAGAGCAATTGGAGTTCGAGAGGGAGAGCGTGAAGATCTCCAAGCGCTGCGGATCCTTACGAACCCAACGCATTTCTTAAGAAGGCAACAGAGGTCTAAACAGCCTCTGGCCTCTCCCCGTCGCCGAGCGCAATCCTAGACGTATCCCTATCCTATATACTCAAGATCCGAACCCACGGAGCTTTAACAACTCCAGGGCCAGAGAGCCGAACCAAACCCACGGAGCTTCGACAACTCCATGGAAAAGAAATTGCCGAACCCGCGGAGCCTTAACAACTCCGGGGCCCAAGAACCGAGTTTGTCATAGTCCTCCAACGAGGATTTAAGCGGAGCTGAACCTGGAAACTGTCCAGCCTACACCATGACCATCTTGGGTGTAAGTAAATAATCTTTGAATCAACCACTACGCCTCTGTGACTAATTCTAGCCCGTGCATGCCTTGCCGCCGCACGGTCTCCTCTGACCCTGCGTGCCCGGGCTGCTGGCCACAGCCCGTGTGCGCAAAGACGGGTCCGCATATCGCTCCCAGCTCGTACATGGCGACATGGATGGGATCGGGAGGCAGCCCGCACCCCTTGAAGGTTTTCCAAGACAGGCTACACAAAGGCTTTGTTGGGATGATATGGTTGTGGATGGTCCTGCTTTGAGCAGGGGGCTGGACTAGATGACCTCCTGTGGTCTCTTCCTACCCTAATTTTCTATGATTTGTGTCCATACTCCAAGGTGATTTCATCTGAAGGAAGTGAAGCTATGTTTGAAACTTCATGTAAGTGAGGTGCCCTGAAACTCTGGATTTAAAGTAACAGAGATGATGTAGACCTTATACACATCTGTAGCAAACTCTATCCCTATACTTCAGATGCTCCAGATATTGTAGAGCATCAGTAACTAAGGAGCATAAAGATAAGCAATAGTTGGAAAATGAGAAAAAAAAATACTTGATATGGTCCAACAAGATTTTGACAGGACAATATCCTTTTCCATTCCCTATATTTCCTTAATCTAAATAAATAGCAATAATACCAATTTCTCTCTCTCTAGGTACCTTTTAAAAATGTTGTCATGCTATAGGTGATATAGCACCTAGCTTGGAACTCAAGTGACTTATGTTCTGTTCCTGGCTCAGTCAATACCTAACCACTCAAACTAGTAAGCCACTAGTTGTCTATGTCTCAGGCTACTGACAGACATGCTATTAAAGGCTTGATAGGATCTGATCCATGATTCCAACAATCATGCCTCCTGTCACCACATGTGAAGTGGAGATTTCCCTGTTTACCAAGATTTTCTTCTTGAGATCTCAGGGGTGGGTCTGGGTTAAGTGAGGATCCACTTTCCTCACTTACCCAGATGGTGCCATGTTGACATGTTTGCAAAGTCTGGGACACCACTAGAATGTCCTTTGGACAGTTACTCTTTTTACAAATATGTTTGTTGTTTGCTAAACTCTAAGCAGACTGTAATATATTCTTTAGTTTGTAAGCTTTATGGGTCAAGAATTTTGTCTTCTTTCATGTCTTGTAGGATACCAAGCATGGTCACATTGCTTAATAATAAATGAATAAAAATATAGTGTTTTGTAAATTAATTAGGTAAACATTAGTTATTAAAAGGTTGAGATAGAATTCAAGATTATATTGATAATGCTTTCATGAAACATTTGCTCTCAGGGAAATGATGTATTACATGGTTCATTAAAAGAATTACTGTCCAGAAAGGGGGAACAGGAAAGATGTGTGCTTGTGCATGCATGGAAGTGCAAAAAGGAGATCCAAGCTAAGGCCAAACAAATATAGATGGCAGGCTGAAGGAGCTCCATGGTATTACCACGGTCTGTGTTTGAACAGGTATTAAAGTATCTTCCCTTTTATGTGTCACATGAAGCAGCCAGACATACACTTCATATGGAAAAAAACTCCCAACTTCATTTTGTATTGCTCAGAAGGATTCCCTTTAGTAGTGACCTTGGTACTTTGTTTCCCAACAATGCAAGATGAGGACTAACTGCATATAAGGTGATGTCAGAGGCTTTAGCAGACTTCTAGCCAAATCCTGTCCTTTGCTTCTGCCAAAGAAAGGAATAAATGCATGCTGCTAAAGGGGAAAGGGACAGAAGGAGAGATGGACTCCCTGCAGTGTGCGCTCCCAGAGAAAACTCCACATGCTAGGTCCATTCAGGTCGGGAGATGTGGTTCTGTATACCTAAGCCAGTAAAGTAACAAAAACAGCTGCTTTCAGTTGCATACTTGTCTTCACATTTCACAGAAAGCACTGCTGAAGTTAATGTTGCTTAGGGCACCACTAACTTTTGATCTTCAACTTCTGTATCCCTGTGTGGTTTAATGTACAACCACAGCTGAGGAAGCATTGGCAGGATAGAGGCTGAGCAAGCTGTGCTGAAGGATATGTGGAGGGAACCAAATCAGCATGGAGGGAAAACAGCCCAGAAATCTGAAGTGTTAGGACAATGATTCCTTGTGGATACATAAGCGCTACAAAAATGCAATGAACATTTCCTTCCTCCAATTTTGTGCCTGTCACTCTGCTGTGCCAAAATTGGCAAACTTGGATCTTCTTCTTGTACATATTTCTGGCTGGAAGGGAATTATTTGGTGTATATTAAAAGAGGCAGATTGCTTCTCTACATTTGTGCTATGGTTCCCCTCAAGAAAAGGCACATACTTTGTTGATAACTACACAAAGAACACACAGATTAATAAATTGTATTAATTACTACTGGCATTCAGCACAGAAGAAACAGTTCACAGACACAGAACTGATGTGTCCACATGCACACACAAAAAGTAAAAAAAAAAAATAAAAAAAAAATGGATGAAACAAAAACAACCCGCCCTTCCCAACACCCCCCACAAAAAAACCCACCAACTTCAAGACAAAAAGCAAATGCAAGCAGTTCTTTGAAGTGCTAATAGCTGCGTTTTCCAGATTTAGGATGGACCCCCAACCGATGTGAATTAATATACTTCCATTCACTAAATCAATTTATAAAAAAAAAAAAACAGAGCTAATTCCTCAGTTTGTATTGTGTTCACTATTAAATGTTTGCTGAAATTAAGTTACAACCTTATTTATTAGTAAAATCTGCAAGTCAATAACAGCAGCATTAGCTGTGATTCTCCATGTGTGGCCTGAATTGTGCTATTCCAGGACTGTAATTTCCTCAGGCAGAGAATTCTTGTTTTTTAATGAGAGACTGTTTAATTTAGCTGAGTATTCAGCTGCTAAGCCCGTGTCCACATTGTAGCCTAAAAAGATGTTGTTCTACAATGATTTCCTTTAAATCAGAACATTAATTGTCTGTTAAAATTAGCATCAAGACTAGACACTTAACAGTAACAGCACAAAACCATGACCTGCTCTTTAGCAGTTTTTCATTACTACAATGCATATATGGGGCTAGCATGCCTTGTTAGCATTATCCAATACAATTCCAATGATATGCCTGCCATGCCCTTGATCCTGAACAAAACCTCTTTAGCTGTCAATGGGATTTTCATATATATATTGAGGACAGTAATGGGTCTTGGCTGGCACTTTATCCTGCTTAAAAGAATATAAACAATTTTATTTACTATTTAAATGATTCTTAAACTAAAGAACTCTTGGACTTCTCACTATAAATAAATTCCAGGGAAATCCAGACATGAGAACATAGAAATAAAGATAAATAAGTAATATTCATTTTTGAAAATTTTAAAAAGAGGAAACTATTTGAAGAATGTCATGACTTCTTACACATTACCACATTATTTTCATGGGACAGTTTCTTTTCAGTTTCAAAACAAATATTTGCTACATTATAATTTTTTTTTGGCATCACAACCTAGGACTGCAAAAATTTTCATGATTAGAACTTCCTGGGATTGCTCTGACAACTTATTTTTCAGTCAAAGTGTCTAGTTGGTTGCAAATGAAACTTTTCAGAGGAATGTACCATTT